TTATTATTATTATTATTATTATTATTATTATTATTATTATTATTATTATTAATGTAATTGTTGTAATTATGCAATTATTGTCACTTAACTGCCACCGGGTCATACCCAATTGCAGTTCTAATAAGTATATATGTATGTATGTAAAATATACTACGAATTGTATGCATAAACTGTAGCAAAAGCTTGTGCTGTAGTCTTTCCTAAAAAATTCGTAGCATGCCTCTTACCTGACTAAATGATGGTGGCATTTAAAGACTGGCAGCATTTTTACAAATTCGTTATAGAAGGTTGTGTAAAGAGAAAATAATGCCATAAAATGGAGATAAGGAACTTAATACATCTGAGAAAGAAATTGTGAAATGGTTAAGTGGATATTTCTTCTATACTTTTTTTTAGATACGTGGCAAACATTGGTGAAGATATTGGGGTTCATCAGAGCACTGTTTCCAGATCAACTACACTTGTGACCGAAAAAAAGTGAAAAATCCAAATACATGGGTTCAATTTCCTTCAACTATTGAAGATACGAGAGCAGCAAAGAATAAATGGAAACAAAAGTACAAATTTCCGACTGCAATAGGTGCTCTAGACTGCACTCATGTAAGACTTTCCAAACCATCAATTCATGGAGAGGAATACGCTAATGGCCCATATCTTGATGTAATCTAAAATTTAAACAAAATAAAAAAAGGTCAAGCAACTTGTCATTATAAAGATTATTTTACCAGTGTGATTATAAGTTGGCTAGGTTGATATCACGATTCACGCGTGTCGAGAAACAGGAGTAGATGGAGATGGAGGTTATGTGAATGCGCCGTAGCTAATAACGCCGTACAGAAATCCCAACAATCCTCAGCATAATTCATACAACTCATTATTGTCAGGAGACAGAGTGATTATTGAACGTTGTTTTGGCCAATTAAAAAGATTTCTAAGTTTTTACTACGGCGTGACCTTTACCTCATACACCATATACCTCATATTCCATATACAAACATGTGTTATTTTACACAACATTTCTAAGTATCTTCGAGATGACGATTTCAATGATTTTAGTGATAGTGGAGATTCTGATTACAATACAGATGACAATGATAATGAAACTGCAATACGCGTGGGAGGTCATGTGAAAAGGGATGAAATAGCTGAAATTATGCACAATGAATGAACGTAATTACTCTTGAACTTTATTTTTCAATTTAAACAGGATTCAACCGTGTCAAAAATTTTAATTGCTCAATTAACAATAAACGTGGCAGTTCTTCTGTACTTAATTTGGAAGATAACTCAGTTTCCAAAGATCGCTTAATGTTAAGCCTCTTATTCTTCTGGAGGAGATCACGATTCTGAAATAGGTCGTACGTCCAAATTTGGAGACGAACTCGGAAGACCAGCATCCAGTGCGTTCGACCAACTGACTTGTGCAGCACTGACTATGGACGAGCTCTGCCGCTTAGGGCGGTCATTGGCATTGCATACACTATCCATCGACAACTCTTCGAAAAATGCAAAAGACAGATGAGATTTTAACGGATGAAAACCAGAAATGGGATGAATCCTAATTTTATCGAATATTAATACAAAAGTTTTTTTCATTTACTCGTATAATATTTTTTTTATTTATTAAGAGACGGACTAAAAAAATTATGGAATTATTTATCAGATATTTTACGAATAAATTGGAACGTGGCTACTATTGAAGAAAAATAAAACGGCATAGTTTTCATTTATTACAATGCTTTATTCTATCGTGAATTTTGAAAAAAATGTAATAGCTTCCAGTCACAATTGTTTGCCTCATAATGCGGATCGTAATAGTACAGATATGAAAATACATATAGTGTTTGTTCCAGCATAACTCGAGAACGCATAGAACAAATGCACATTTCCACTAAATTTTGCAAGAATTCTTTTGAGCGTACGAGAAATAACATGGGGAGGGTGTTGATTCATGTTACCGCGAAATACTAGAAATGTGTTTAATTTGATCTTCATTAACGTCAAGTTTGCTTAGTTGTGAATATAATTGAAGGGTAAATTAATTTTCTGATAATTATGCTTACTATAAATGGTTTTTTTGTTTTGTTTTTTTAACCAATACATTTTTTTGTTGGTTTAGACGCAAAAATAGTACATAAAAATAGGTTCAGCGCCTTATTTTTCGCAAGTGCCGGTATGTTTCGTCGTTTTATTATTCTGTTTTGAGGCTCGCTTTGAATCAAAACACCTGAGACAACCGCAAATTACCAAATGTCACCCATGACCCATTTGATATGCTTGGGGTGCCAAATGATGTGAACGCAAGAGCAAGTGTGTATTAAAGCGAGAAAGAATCACGCGTGAACCACAATGCATAAGGTAGTTAAAATATTGCGTTTTTCACCTGACCCCACGACCAGCAGAGCTTGAGGGACACATTTTGAATATTGTGTTTATTAACTGAGACATCTTCTGTACATTTGGGATTTTATCACCATTTTGGCTCGCACTGGAAATCTGCACTTGCAAAGATCTCGTAAGCACCAATATTTTCCACTAAGTTTTCCCATGTTTGTTTGTTTTCTACTTATTCATTTACGAAGTCGAAACACAGTTATGTAATGCTCCATTAATAGTTGGCGAAATTTAGACGGAAATATACTTTTAGGGCGTCCTTTATACTAAGAAGGTTACTTTTTCGTATTTTACTACGTAGTAGTATGAAGTAGTATGATTGTAACGAAGGAGGAACAATTACCCTGGGGTGATCACTATTAACTTGTTTATTGATATTACAAATAAATATATCATCCAAGTGAAATTCAACTACTGATTAACTAGGATTACATTTAGTTTTGTATGTAAACGAGAGTTCTAATATGAAGTCTATTTTGCATCTTCTTAGCTCAAATATGAACAAAAACGTACAAAGAGAAAAATGAGATACTCACAGCGCTCATCTTCATCTGATAAGTCGTCATCGTCTCCACAGTCGTTTTCTCCATCGCACACCCACTCTTTAGGAATGCAGCGGCGCGAACGAAGGCAACGAAACTGACCAGATTTGCATTCTTGAGGATCTGAACATACATCATTTTCATTAGCAGAAAACCAAACGGTGTTGCTAGTGTAACATGGTAGATTTTGAATAATATATTCCTTTCTTTGAGGAAACACTAGGGAAAGTGGAGTGGAGTGGCACAAGGTCTATTAAAAGGTCAAGTTTTCCTTCTTTCTCCACTGTATATGTGATAATAAATTTCGATAAATATTGACAATTTCTTTCTCCCTCCCTTCTGACTATATTCTCCATAATCTAGTGTTGGCTTGGCGAGATTAACATTTTTTATAGTTATTTTTGAAAATCCAGTTCGTAATTTGCTTCACTCATCATGCATCGTAAATGTGCGCCCGAAACTAAATTAATACAACCCTTCTTAATAATTCGCCCAATCAAAAACAGTTCTCGCTGCTATTTTAAAAGAGGTCGGTGCAGTCGATATCTTATCGAAATTGTTCATTTTTGAAAAACAATTAGATTTTTTTGTTGCAATCGCGCCCGCAATTCAAATACGTGCTACAACTGTGTGAGTGGCTGAGAAAGGCTGCGGTCGGCAGCGACACCGGCTTAGATGGTTCAGCAGTGATGTCACTGCAGTGCCTCTGACGGGAGGTGCTAGGGTTCCACTCTCAAAGAAAACACGATTTTCGACACTTGCTTTTTAGTTTCGTCAAACTCACCCGCTCTCTGTGCACAAATTCTAGCGACCGGCTGCTCTGATTGGTAGTTTTCGATGGTTTTTTCCGATCAACACCAGGCGGATGCTGGAACAGTACCCTAATAAACGGGCCATGAGCCGCGCGCGACACATTCTTCCCCTCTCTTGGCCTTTCCTCATCTCTTACTTACACACATTTACTACTAGACATGTCGGGAGATCAATCGGGAGCTAAGAGCGTGACCCGGCTGGGGAGGTGCCCTACTAGTGGGAGACTCCTGGATGGGGAAACGCCGCAATCCGACGAGTAGGTCGGCGCCGGATCACACCGTCCAGCGGGGAGAAGGCCGCCATCTTACGCGATGAAACATACACTACACCTACGGGTCTAATAACCACAGCAGTTGACACGCCCGGTAACACGAAATAATTAATCAATGAGATAAGCTCGATTCAGCGGGGGCGGCTCGGTTTTTCAGCTTCGAGTTGCGCGGGTTCGCCCCATCCCCTCCGAGTCGGGCCAAATGTGAAGACTTTTCGTTGCCCATCACCGCCTCTTCTGCTCCCCTCTCCCACATAGCTCAACAGTTGCAGTGCCAATGTTTCAATTCATTATACAACTTTCAGGACAATTAGATATTTTGTAATGTAATATGATTATTCTTCTTATAAATAATAAACCTATGGCATTCCTTTCAACAAAACAGCGTTATTGTTTGTACCGCGTAACACAAAATTAATAACGATCGTAAAATAATTTGATAGAATTATCAAACAATGAACAAAAATAAAATAAAAACACTATCTGCAAACTATATGGACTGACCCAAGCGATGGTGGTCCACGAAATAGTACAAACAACTTCAAAGCTTGGAGACAACTGCGTCGAAGAACGTGCAGAACGTTGATGTGTTTACTATCTAGCGTTGCCAACATTAGCGGAAGACGCACGAAACTTAGCTAAGCCGCGCCGCTAGATCGCCACGAGGGCTGGTGAAACGCGTTTGCCGTAAGCTCGCTTAAATTTAGACTTAAATTTTGAGCCAGCTTAACAAAGCATCGCTTAACCAAATATTGTTGAAACCGGCCCTAAGTATGTAAGTAAAGGAAGAGAAAAGGGCAAGGAAGAGGAAGGAAAGATCGCGCACGGTCTATCGCCCGTTTGTTAGGGTACTGTTTTGGCATTCGCCTGATGGTGATCGGAGAACCCACGGAAAACTACCTATCAGAGCAGCTAGCGGCTACAATTCTCCTCCAGAGGATTCGACATAAGCAGCTAGTGTCGAAAAGTTTGTAAACGTCGGAACACGAACCTAGGGCCTACGGGTTAGAAGCACTGCGATGGCATGGGTAATGTTCTAATTCCAGATACACATGAGCGCCTCTTCTGCACGTGAGTTTACTCACCGCAATCAGGAGGCTCGTCCGAGTGATCCGGACAGTCCGGAGAGCTGTCACAGCGCCATCGCAGGGGGATGCACTGCCCGTTGTCGCAGCGGAACTGGTGGGGCGGACACGTCACTTCTTCCGATGCGTTCTTCGCGCCTCGCGAATACTGCCCGATGTGGGGCTCAAGCGTCGTGGACGAAGCAGGCGTTGCGACCGCTGTAGGCGTGGTAGGCGTTGTAGTCGTTGAAGGCGAAGTAGGCGCAGCAGGCGAAACTGAGGTAGATGATTCCGACTGCCCTCGCGGGGCCGTCGTGTCTGTTTCTGCAACACAACGGTAGCGATCAAACAGGGCGCGAATTGGCAATGTTTTGCACATGGGGGAGCGGAGAACTGACGAGTGAAACGAAGACCGTCTTCACTTATGCTCCCTAATTCTTCAAATCCTCACATCCTAATCATCCCATTGAACATTTCAATATGGGGGAAAAAAGCTTATAGATTGCGTTCTCGGTTCTAAAATTAACATTCTTCCAGTCGGGGGCATGAGATGCAACGGAAAATACACTAAAACAAGGCAACCCTATATATGCTGATAAATGGGAGCGAGTTACTATTTTGTTAGTAATGCAGGAAAATCATACCTGCAATTCGTTTACCGTTGCAAATAGCTGTTATATAACCCGGGAACGAATTATTTTTAAATACTGCTTAAAAATTAGTTTTTTCAAATATTGCTAAGCTCGCGTTTTTTTAATTTTATTTTTATTTATCTTTAACTTTTGCTCATCTTTCAACTATTTATAATTAAAATGATGGGAAGGAATTCTGGATCTCTAGAAAACGTGCGCAAATGATCTTCTCCCCCATACGTTACATGGTTTTCACGCGGTTTTTGACTAAATAAATCTAAATCTAACTCTATGGAGTAATATACGTAGTAAAGGAAAAGCTATGTAATGCTGCGCGAAAAAATGGAGGATATTCGGCAGAAAAAAATCATTGCTTTAAATGACGTCAAAGTTGCTCAAAACTCGACCGAAAAAAGACAGACTCAAAATTTCGCATTTTCAGAAACGCTCTAACGCCATTCTCTCCAAATTTTTCCTCCAGACTTTTCGAACGTACTTGTGAGTGCTTCTATCGAATTGTACTTGCGAGTTAAAGTGTTTTAAATGATTTCTAATGAAGTTTTACGAAAACTCAAAAATGTTTTGCGAAAAAGAGCTTCAAATTCGCTCTTCAAAACGGCTCCAAGTCAATGTACTATTTAGTACGAAGTTATACTGTTCTTTAATATTCTTATAATTATATTTCCATTCTATTGTTAGGAAACCGAAAAATTGAGTTTTTTTTGTTTTTTGTTGGTTTTTTTTGGGGGGGGGGATACATTCTTGGGCGACGATAGAAGGTAGCTAGCAAGTGCATGTGGCAAGTCCGAATAGCTAGCTGAGACCAAAGGAAATAGAAAATAAATTTGGGAATGTCTGAGCCACTCTGTAGCATCACTAGTTTATTATGAATGAACGACCTTGTTGATCAATTAATCGAAGATCATTTCAGCTAATTCAATATTTTTATTTTCATGTCGCTTAAATTGTCATGATGCATATTCCATGTTCAATACATTTTTTATTGTCATGATACATATACATGTCCAATACATATTTGAATAAGAAGGACGTGTTAATTTGAATTGTGACTGAAATATTCATTACGTGTAAGTCATGACTTCTAATTTAAGAACATGGCAATTATAAACATTGGAAGAATATGAACTACTACATTCGAATACTATACGAATACTAAATTTAGTTTTGTACCCATTTAATATAATAATATTTAAGCTCTGAAGAGGTCATTCTATGTAATGACGAAACGTAAGCAAAATGAAAACAAAAATATTGATTAAGCTGAAATTGATGAATTGATCCTGGGGTCATCCCTTCATCCAAAATATGCATTTTTTGCGGTTTACAAGTGAGGCGTCAAAAGAAAAATAATGTCACTGATAGGATTCGAATTACATAAGTATTCGTTGAAAATAACTTAATGACTAATTGTGGCAAACATCGCTTAATGCAATCCCGTATCACAAATCCCGATTAACGGTCTTCCTTTATATCGATTGGGCTCAAATCGAAAACTGTGCTTCCTAGGATCTTAAAACGTTTTTCAAGGCCGTAGGCCTCAGACTCGCTCCTCACGCCATTGCCTACGAAATGAGAGGTTTTTAAATATGTTATCCGCTCCCGAAGGGGCGTGGAGATTTTTGAATTTTATGAAGACACATTACGATTTTTTTTCCTTAATACGGATTTGGGGGATGTGAGAATAAGGTTTGGATTTCCACTTTCGAGTTGTCGCTCGGGTACGCTAGTAATAATTTTGAACAAAATTAAGGAATTTTCACATCATGTGACCTTAGGGAGAGTAACCTGTATATTTGTTGTTCAGAAGCAAACAAAAGGACTATCTCAGCATTCGTTCTAAGAATTACTGGGAACTGACAAAAATCACCATCAAGATCGGGACCAGGCTAATTTAACCTGCATCTCTCCCATGAGCAATTTCACATATCGAATACATTATTAGTACTTACACGATCAAATGACATTTTAATATATAACTTATATGTAATGGTCATAATATGTGTAATTAATATTATGTAATATTACATCATGAAAATAATATTTGATTTTAAAAAATCCAGATGTAAATGTAAATATAATAAGTTAATATAAAGATATTTTCACACCCGAAGCTACTGAAAGCGAAAATAAAGAATAATGAAAATTATATATGCGTGTCGATCCCGTCAAATATTAGTCTTATAGTTCGAATTGAACAGAGTTCCCGACACTACAAATAATGATGCAGAACAAAAGATTGCACGCCTTACAATAGTTTTGCAATTTACCTACGTTCCTAATATTTAAGGGTAAAATATTAAAATAGTGATTACTCGGCGCCTC